CATCTGATGCGTTCCTTGGAGGACAATCAGACATGCACACAAAGTTCATGTTTGTCAAGTGCATTGCTGGAGATTAGGTTCATGTACACAATCCCACGCAGGCTCACATGCTGACAAATCAAACACAGTTGCACTGATGCACTGTGTGAACTTAAGCATAGATCCTTTTTTAGAGGTTTATCTCAATCTGCTTATAGTGACATATTAAAATGTATTAAATCTTTTCCAACCTTGTGTAATGCAACATTTTGTTAGTATTGTTAGATGACTGTGTTATAAGTAAAGCTGTTCTTTTTGGGAGGAATATTGTATCTTTAACTACCATAAAACTATAGCTACGTAATAATGAGTTGATTTATGATGTGTCTCTGTGGAGTTAATGCATTCTGAGATTAAGGGTGAGAAAGTGGATTTAAGGGTGAGAAATCAGTGCAGCCAGTATTATGTGTCTGTTGTAAAACATTGTAACTCTTAGCCTCTAGATCTATGTTGGAACTCTAAATTAGTCATTTGGTTTTATGACAGTATCAATGTATTTCCTCACTTGGTCTTAAGAAGATACAGGAAACATACAGCTATCTTACTGCTATCAAAACAAAAACCAAGACAAGTGAAACAAAACAAAACAAATAAGCTTCAAGTTAAACATCATCTTATAACACACCAAATGGACTATATACATTGTAATGTACATACAGTACACATATTGATTGGTCAGGTTCGAATGAAATTAAAGCAGAAATGTCATACTGTACTCAACCTTCTGCGCTGCTGTCTTCTGTTATGAGACACACGCCTCACACTCTTAATTTTTGGTGTTGCAAGTTGCAATAACTGTATTCCAATCTGCAAACACATTCCTTCAACTATAAGTTGTATGTTTTGTCAATTACTTTTGATACTTATTAGGCTCAAAACACTTAGCGGCTAATATGATCATCTGAAAAATTAATTTTGGTGCAGTGGTTTCACTATCACCCCACAACAGAAAGGTTCCAGGTTCTAACCTTGTGGCCGACTGGGCCCTTCCTTGTGGAGTTTGCTTGTTCTCCCCGGGCCTGGCTGGGAGCTACTCTGGCTTCCTCCCACAGTCCAAAGACATAAAGGTTAGGCTGACTGGTGCCTCTAAATTGTCCCATGGGGTTGCAACTGATGTAAAGACTGTCCCACTGGGGGGGTTATACAGTCAAAGCTCAAAATGTATATACTGTTGTATAGCAGTGGAATGTAACTATGTACAATTAGAGTATTTTATTAATCACAAAGGGGAAATTCTTGTGTTACAGTAGCTCAGCATGGATGTTTTAAAAGACCAAAAGCCAGATTAAAATTTAAATGAAGGAGGAACCTAAAATAGGCCTGGAGGGATTATATGCGCATGTAAATAAACAAAGATAAGCAATAGAAACAATTAAACAATATACAACCTGCAATGCTAACCACTGTACAATGTGCAGGTGGATTGTCCTGAAGAGCTTTAACTGTACAGTAATTTGCAGGTAAGACTTTGATATAGTGTTTGTCAGAGGAGGAGATTCCTGTCCCGACACAGAGGAGGGTCACTGCACAGTGTGACAGCAGTCAGCAGGAGATTCCCTGTAGCGCTCATCAGTCTCTGACTGAAAGTGCCTCACTGTTTGACCAGTAGGCGATGGGAGGGGATTCCCATGATGTTCAACAGTTTATGCATCCTCCTCCTCTCCACAACCAGCTCCAGAGAAGCCCCCAGCACAGAGCCAGCCTTCCTGACCAGTGTGTTCGGTCTGTTGGTGAGTTCTGGTTAGGGTCAATAAGCCCCTGCCATTTCACTGTTTAAAAAACATATCTATTGTTACTCTTTTACCATGACACTTCCTAATTTTATGAAATCTTTGCATAAAAATGACTGATGTGATATTGATTTTTTATATGTCTGTAATCAAGTCACTACACACTGTTGATGTCTGGGGTCAAAATGATCCAAGTGATAAATTCCATTTAGAAATAATCGGAATTCTCCCAAGCATCAGAATCTGGCAATCCCCAGGAAAACGGCTTATCTCTCCTAGGATGACGCAACCACATAAAAAACAGAAAACATTTCAATCATTTGTTTTTTGGTACTGGTCATTGTTTTTCTTCAATGAGATTTGAAAAAGCTGGGTTTGTTGTGTCTGAGGCACAAGATACTGCCAGTGACAAACAGGTGAAAAACCTGAATGCTTGGCCCCCACAGTGAGGGGATCCTATGGATCTGTTATGCAGTGGGGGGCTTTTTGCTGGGTCCACTTGTCCCCTTAGAGGGAAGAGTCCTGTAAATCAATCCAAAGACATTCTGAGTGATCTCTTTCTCCTATGATGAATCATTTCTCTCCTGATGGGAGGAGTCTTCTCCAGGATGACAGTGCCTCCATTCACAGGACACAAGGGCTCACTGAATAGTTTGATGGGTATGAAAATGATATGAATTGTTTGCTGTGACCTTCACAGTCACCAGATCTCAACCCAGTTGAACACCTATGGGAGACTTTGGTTCGACGTGTTTCCACTACCATCTTTAAAACACCACGAGGGACAGCGGGGCCCTCTAATGATGTAGTTAGTTGTAGTTTGTTTGCCTGTGATAAGCAACAACGTAACTTTAGATATAATTAGTTTGCCTGTAATAAGAGTACTGTGGTAAAAAGCACTGTGCACCTTTTTAAATAGTGAGGTTTCATTGGGGTCAAATTGATCCCAAACATAAGTAGTGTTACTTCTTTTGGCAAAACAAAGATAAAAATAATAATAGAATAAAATTATGTCAAACAAAAGAGATAAATGTACCTCTCCAAAATGACCTACAGAACATATAAGCCATATCGTTATTTTCCTAACTTTGTCGTTCTAGATTTCAGTGTCTTTCTAAAACTCTGCTCACCTACATCATGAGAAAACAAATAGACAGTGATAAAATTAGTTTTACTTTGTTGGGATGTAACAAGCTCAGGCCGACTTGAAAAAATGCAAGATAACCAAAAAAATTGGTTAACTTAAAAATTGTGATGATTATTTTTACTCTTAAATCACTGGGGTCAACAAGAGCCCAGCTGATGGCAGTGTAAAGTGAATCTCAACAGAGCAGGGTTAAATACATGTTTAACATATGTATTTGCTACTTTAGATGTCCACTGTATTTCAGGAGCTACTATGTTGACATAAGATTTTACAAACAAAACCTATGGCTGGTTTATAAAATAGCAATGACTGCTATAAATGAAACCATCCAGGAAAATAAAGTAGTTCACCACCAAGCTACACAAATAAAATGTCGCTCATTAATGTATCAGTGTTAATAACTCAGTAACAATGATATATCTGTACTTTTAATATGGGAAGATTTTGAATCCAGATTTTTTTACTTGTAACACAATACTTTTATACTGTGGTACTGCCACTATTTCATAAGTAAAGGACATGAATACTGCTTAATATTATGTATCTTTTTTGTTCTTTGTGTTTCTGTGACACTGTAAAATCCAAACACAGAGGTGTTTGTCTTATCTTAAGGCTCTTCACTTGACCCACAAACTGGGCACACTGTGCACAACTTCTGGGCTGGAATAGCTTGTACTCACACTATATTGTAATGTCACAGGGTAGCTCATTTTTAAAACAAGGCTCCAGTGTAGCAAGTCTTTTTCTAAGCTTAGGGGGACACCTGGTGGTGCAGGAGTGATGTGCACACTAACTCTTACTGGAATATTCTATATCACCTGACATGAAATGGAGTAGGAGTAACTTCTCGCTGTACACACAGTATTGTCAAGTCTCATTGGATAAATTCATGTGCAAACTTAGCCCCATTCACATATTCAGTATACAGTTCTCCGCATATTATCTAAATATTATTTATTTGACAGAACAAATTAATTCTAGTGTGATTATAATGTAAAAACATTCAAACTATAAATCTGTTTTTGCTTCTGAAATGTTTTATGTATCTAAATGCTCTACAGTATGTATTTACATGTTTTTTTAACATTTACATATAGTTTTGTATTTGTATAGTTATACATTTAAAGCACACACAATATTAAAGCAGCAAAAGATGGATGGATGGAGTATTATCACATCTCATCTAAAAATGTTTAATAAGTTGATATGTTGTGGTGAAGATTTTTATTGAACACACTGCATAATCAGATTATATTATACATCCTGATTCAGCATCACAAATCTTTTTTACATTGCATCTTTATCAAACAATCAGAGAGAAGACCGAATCAGTGGATTTAATGGCATTCTCTATCAACCCAATACTTTCTTATCCTGATAGTTGCACTAGCATTTCCCTTCTGCAAGTATTGTGTGATATTGCCTCATACACTTGAAAGGCCTATGACTGCTGGGAGAGATACCAAGAGATTTCACACACACACACACACACACACTGAGAGAGAGAGAGAGAGACCATCTCAGGCATATAAACACACACCCTCCACCAGCCGGGAGATGAGATAGGCAACGTCTGTTGTCTGTTGACTGCCAGAGCTTGATATCACTCAAGCCCCAGGAGTCAATCGTAATGTAGGAAGGAAGTACTACAATAATTGAAAAATAACAAGTGCCTATTAGTATTTCTCCTAACATAGTCCCCTCAATGTGTGGCTGTTTGCACAAGTTGACTCAACCCTAGCTCCTAGATCTAAAGGAAAGCAGCTTGTCGGTTGCTGCAGAACGGCCAGGTGTCAATGACAGCCGTGATGTGCTGCCAACCAGTGGTGAGTCCTGGGAAATAACTTGGCCTCTGACTGCACTACAGCCAAAACCAGAGGGCTAGATCTGGCGATTATGGGGCAGGCCAGGAAAAAGAAGGGAAGGGCACAGTGAGTTTATTCTACATCTCTAGCTCTGAGTCCCACCTTGTTCTGGGTGCTGTTCGTGTAATTTAAACAGCAGCTGCACGGTGTTTTAATGGCAGCAGAATGAAGGCGTAATGAACAGCATGCAGTGACAAACAGTCCAAAGGCAGAGATGAATGATACTACATAACTTATTTTTATTTGGCTGTAATTGACCTGATGTATAATTTCCTGACATTGACATCAATTATTAAACAAACCTGAATTTCAGATACATCAAATTGATCAATTGAAAACAAAATTCCCATGAAGTCGTACTGTTACCCAACAGCAATTTATTGTTGCATCAACAGGTGATTGTTTGTTCGCAAAATACAGCCGAGAGAGAAGCAAAGAGAAAGGAGAAAAGCCAGTGAATGTTTTCGTGCTTCTCAGAGCAGGAAACCTAAACCTGAGCATGAATCCCACTGGCGAAGGAAAAGTCACCAGTTGATGTGAAGAAGAAAGTCAACTCAGTTAAATCAACGTGGTGGAAATCTTGAAGCCATGCAGTTAACAGAATATTGCCTTCAAATAACACTCACACATGCTGTTCCAAAACCAAACATGCACTGGGTATTTCAGAGGGCTAAAGTGTAAATACTCAACGTTTTAGCAATACAAATCTCTAAATGTTTCTGTTGATGAATATTTGTAGAGCATGTTACACGCTTTTTCCAGCTATTCCTTTACTCAGTTGATTGTTTAAGCAAATGATAAATGAACATTATTAAGTAAAAATAAAATATAAAATAAAATATATACTGTATTTAGAACGGATCTGCCTCGACGCTGCTGATGTGTGTCACAAAAACCACAAGCAAATTCAATCACTACTACTAATTCAAAGAGCATTTTGTAAACGATCAATCGTCGCAAACGCAGACTGAGTCATCACAAGGCTGTGAGTGCAGGTCGGATCACAGTGGTCGCGGACAAGTTCAGCATCTCCTCTACAAGCCACCTCACTAGGGCTCGTGAGAGTTTAGTCACGCATTTGGAAACGTCTCCTTTTCTCTCGTTTTTCTAGGAAAAGTGTGTTTTTGTTTGCCCATCCTCTTGAAACAATTGTGTGTATATATATATATTCTTTTAGAAAAGAACTACCAAAATCATGCAACTAGCATTTTATGTTTGTGAGACCAAAAACAATTGGTGCTTTTGACTCAATTTTTCTCTTGGGTGCTGGTTGGGAGGTTTGGAGGTGAGGTCAGCGTGAGTGTTTTAGGCACTGCCATCCTGTTTGAGCCGCTGACTGCGAGCCTTGTAGACCTCGATCAGTAAATCTTTGACGTACTGAATTTCTCGCTCCACCGACTCTGCCTTGTCACGAAGCTCCCGGTTCTGCCCCTCGAGGCCGTGCAGCTCCTCCTCCAGAGAGTCCAGCTCCGCCCTCTTACGCAGCCTGTACCTGCAACAGGAATGAATGGTTGGTTCTGCTGCTTTGCATCTTAATCAGTGGGTCAAGTGAACGTGATCTTTGTGCTGCATCAAGAGGTTTCCTCACACAGATCACTCCTCCTTTATCACGATTTACTATTTATTCCAACTAACGCAGAGTTCATGGCTGATGAATTTCCACCCATTCTAACATTATGTGATCTTTTTCTCTGAATAGCTCAGTTTACAAAGATGTGAATAAACACACACAGACAAACCAGACTTATAAAAATGCTTAGGTGGGGCTACATTTGGCAGGGAATGAGGGACTTTCCATTTCTTTCCTACACTCTGCAGGACATTTAAAGTAACACTCCCACCATGTTAAAGTGTAAAGCAAAACACCAAGTACTCAACTGATAAGCTAAAAACAAGAATATGATCAGTAATGATCCCCTGCAACATTTGTTGAATTAAAAATAGCTGTAATTGTGAACTGTTTCTTACTTTTTAATGTTATCATATTTTCATTACTGTGCTACCAGACTTCTGACATTAAAACCTATTATTAGATGTTTGTGAAGGGTGAACCTGTTTTTAAATGAGAAAGAAGCAAACAGGAATAAAAAAAACACAGAGTCAGTGGTTTACCTGTGAGCAGCAGTTTTGTTCTGGTCTCTCTTCTTCTGCTTACGCTCTCCACTGCTGGCATCCAGAGAAACGGCGCCCATCACCAGAGATGACTTGATGGAGCAGGGCTCATCCTTTAGCCTCTGAGTGGGGCGGTGGATGGGGGTGCCCATCAGCGGCCCCTCGCCCTCACCTCTGGACAGACATTCATAGCTTTGGTCCGCAAGGCATTCTGGATAGAGGTAGTGGCCGTGTTGGGGCTCTACAGCCTGTGCTTGTGACGGCTGATCTAGGTCACCTATAAAGCTATGGTAAGGCTCTGTGCTGGCCATGGACTGGTGGAAGTAGCCATCACCGGCCACCATTGTCTCTTGGGGAATACTTCCAGAAAGTCCTCCATCTTTGCTGCAGTGCAAGACATCAAGCCCCGTGCTGTCATAACTTACATTGACCTTCACGTTGTGCATCAACTGTCCTTCTCGCTTGTGGTGGCTATCGTACGAGCCACCCAGACAAAAACCTCGAGCAATCTCTTCGCTGCAAAACATTCCTTCTGAAAAACAATAACTGTCCTCTTCCTTCAACGATAAAGCACATTCTCTCACCTTCTTGATGCTACCGAGGCAGTTCTTGTTCACCGTCTTCAGTGTGGAGTAGTGGTTCACAGACAACTCTGTGCTTCCTGAGTAACTTCCTCTGGAGCCCCATGTATCAACTCCAACTTCCTCACCGACTTTCACTGTCTCACTGATTATTCTTCGTCCGTTGTTGTGGTGGTAGCGGTGATGGTAGTTGTATGGAGCGGGTCGAGCAATTTTGGTTCTGCTGATGGGACTGCCACAGAAGCTGGCCAGGTCCAGTTCCCCTGTTGCCAAGGTAACAACCACAGGGCATAGGGTAACTGATAATAAGACTGGGAGCCCATGGCTTGAGCACCCCTGTCACATTTTGAGGATCTCTCCAACTTGTTTGATGTGGATGTAGACTCGGAGCGGAAGTAGTCCTCCAGCTGAGCCAGCTCTTCCTGCAGTAGAGAGGTCATGACCTCCAGATCCGAGGGCACCTTGACATCTTGTTCTAATGGCGAGGGTGGAAGGGATGAGCTTGGAGAAGACTCGGTCGTTGACACAAATGAGGACAAATCTACTTTTTCCGTCATCCAATCAGAGTGACCATCACCTATAAAAGTTAAAAATAATAACCATATAAGTAAAGGAATCCATATTTTCATTCAGTTGTTTGTATAGAATGATTTAAATAAAAGCAACAAATTCAGCTAAAAAATTCTAAAATCACGCAAGGTTGAGAGGATAAATGTAAAAAAATCTTAAATTAAGATCAAGCAAAACATCCGAAAAATCCAAGTGAACAACTAACCGATCATCTGAAAATGATTGAACAGCATCGTCTGCATTCGATAAAAATCCACTTAGCTGTACTCACTGTACTACATTAGCCCCCGTGCTGCACTGCGGCTCCGACCTCGGGTTGTGGAAAAATAAAAAAGTGTCTTGGCAAAACTCACCAATTAAGTGTCGGCTCTCCACTGGCTCCGCCCCCGGCCTGAGCCGTGATTGGCTGCGGCTAGCCTGTCGGAGAAGGGGAGCGCCAAGCTCGCCTGTGGAAATGGGAAAAATTTTCCTGCGAAGGATCGATGCCGCTATTGTGTTGTCTGTTCCGATCAAATAGTTCACAAGCACAAATCGTGCACTGCTGGGATGAAAGAGTAGTGACAGACCTGTGGAAAAAATTAGGAGAATAAACAAATGTCACAAATTTTAATTCAGCCTGTAAGTCCCTCACTTCAGTCTCCAAAGCTAATAGTTACCCAAAATATTTATTTCAAATTTAAAAATATTTAAACTGAAAAATAAAATTCTAAAAATAACTTGATTTATAGGGTTAATTGGGCTCCAATTAACTCTTCACTTTTCTATTTACCTGTCATCTCATAAGTCATTATTGATTTATGCAACAGTAATTAATTATCATACAGCAACATTAGTAACTTGACACACTTTGAGGAACAATAAACCATCAGAAAACAAAAATTACATTAATGTATAAAACAAAAAATTCTATGTATACAGTATAATAAAGACTTTTACATTGAACAATATAATTACAAACTTTATAGACACTATAAAATGTTTTATAATATGTAAGTTGTAGAAACATTGAATGCACACCTAAAATCTTATTTTTAAAAAGTGATATTTGAGAAGTGACTTTAAAAAGCAGCTTTAATATGACCACTTTAAAATAGCAGCCTAACGTTAATGTAAACGACGCACATTAGTAACAAATCACCAATAATATAAGGTCTGTTTAAACCTGGCGTTTGCTGAAAGAAGAAATTATCCTCGGAACTTTCCTCTATTCCCCTAAAACTAGAAAACACAGACTTACCCCATAGTTTCTGAGTAGTCTTGTGAAGTGCGTTGCAGAAGCAAACACACGGAGCTTTGCCGAGAGCAGGAAGACAGTCACAGATTAAAAAGACATGTTTCCCCTTTAGGAAGTCAGGGACTGTTCATGAAGTGCTATTTCGACGAACAGACTTGCAGACAGAAAGTTTTTAAATCCTCTACTTCTACAACTCCTAATGCCCGGACCTGATCACAGGAGACGAGATTAATCCGCAGTTTCCAGAGTTCAGCCGGCCGTTACGTCATGAGTGCGGGGACTTTCCCATTATCCAGAGACCAGAGATCCAGGCTCACCCAGCAGGCGTCACCTTACTTTTAATTGCTTTAATTTTGAGTTTGTTTGTTTTTTTGTTTTGTTTTTTGCTATAAAACGTTATCATTTGTTATAGAATTCATAAAACTTATAGTGCATATTGTTGTTGATAGTTTGTACCTCAGTTAAGCGTTTATTATGCTCTAAAAAGTTTGGAAATAAATGTATTATTAAAACTACAATGTAATTGAGTGTTTTAGTGTATAATACGTGTAATGAGTGTAGCCTATAATAAGCACCCCGCTGGAAAAGGTTTTTAAAAAATTAACTCTTCCTCCTAACAGTCTTTAAAGTCCACAAACTCCCAATTTATCTAATTTAGATATAGGAGGAATGATAAAACAACATGCACACCTAAACGCGGACGGTGTGAAAGACTGCTCAGTGCACGGTAGAGGCGGCACTAGCTTTCGGTGCGCCGCAGCGGAAGGATATTATGTTGCAGTTCGAAGGTGTAACTTTAGTTGCAGCCCTGTTGCATCAGATCCGTAGGGGATTTGCTGAACGCTGTACCAATGTGGCCACAGCATTGGTTTAACTGGGGGAACTTTTCTCTTCCTATTGGCCTGCTATCACTCTTCCTCTGATTGTTAATCATTACACATTAGCACCATCCTGGGACTAACTGGTGTACTGTATTTTATAACCTATGTTAGTGTGGCAAAAAGAAACTGTGACCTATGAGCAGGGATCAAACTGTTTATTTTCTTTTAGTTCAGTCTGCACAGCTTGGTGTGGCCTCATGAATTTAGTAAAAAATTTATTAACATGAATAGTATGGAAACTAAAGCCCTTTATCACATGTGCTATGTAGATATTGTTTACCACCTCACTGCTACTACACTTTATGAGGCTTCTGTGTCAGACATGCTATAATATAATAAGCAGGATTTTGTAAAAATGTGTGGATCAAGGTCTTTTACGTGTGAAAAATTCAGTGCTTTATAAATATTTTGTGAAACCGCAAATGAATTTTATATAGTTTTAAGAAGATCTATATAGACCTCTGCCTGTGTGGAGTTGACCCCAGGAGAAAACTAGAGCACATGGTATCTGATGTTTCTTCAGATGATACACACTGCATTAAATCTGAGGTTAATTTAAATTTAAAATAGACTTTATGATTTTCCATGAGTAAATTCCCCAACCTAGATTTTTAGGAGCATGTCTTACCTGACAGGCATTTTCCTAACGTTCATGTCTTTTGTGAAAGATAAAAAAAGCCATAGACAGAATATACAAACTAAACTCCACACACATACACACGGTTGAAATGTTTTATTTGAATTTGCAATTACATTATAAATATACAGGAATCAAACATTTACATATATACATTCATACACACATTTGACTTTCTTTGAACGCTATGGAAAGCTGAATCGAAACAAACTCTTACCCACTCTTTTTTGGTAAACCTGACAGTCAAAACCAACTAAGATTTCAGTGCTGTCAAATATCAGTATCACTCATTTATATTCATGTCCTGTCTCACTGATATCTGGGATCAAGGATTGGCACTTGATCAGTTTGTCAGAAAAAGCTTCATCCATGTATAAGAAGACAAAACAAAGATTAACTCTAGGGTAATGCCTTAATTTACAGAGTGTTACTGAACAGGTCATGAAAGACATTAAATCACCTTGGCATCACATAGAAATGTAACATGGAGCTGACAGTGGTACAGAAGCAATTACATCAACGATGCAGACCTATAGTGCAGTAAAGAGCCTTTAATCAGCTGTAGACACATTTAAAACTGATCGAGAGCTCAGTTTAAAAACAGATGTGTGTATGTATACATGTATATCAATGCTATTTCTGCTATTTCTATGTTTTTATGTGAATATTTTGTCTGATAATGAAACAGAGTTTGTAAATTGACCAGCAGTATATGTGAAATATAAGAATAAATGTTGTATGAATAAAGTAACACACTGTAATGTATTTTATTTGTAAACAATTATAATTCCTCCTGTTGGAACAAATAATTGGAAGCTGATGTATAACCAGACAAAATGTAAACATGCTTTCATTTGATAGTTAGTTAGTTAGTTAGTTAGTTAGTTAGTTAGTTAGTTACACAGCTTTTTCTCTCTCCTCCCAGGTTTTTATCAAGTAGCTGGAAAACTGTAATATTTCATATGTGAACAACCAACTCAATCTCTCTGCATCATCCATATTTACAAATTTATAATTGTAGACAAGATACTGTATAGTGCTGAGGAGTACATTTAAACATAGTTCAAACCTAAACGTACAATACTGTAAATCAAATCAGAGGTAAATAATTTGAGACATTTTTTAAGGTATAAAAGTACAGTTGAGTTGACTCATTTAATTAGCTTACAGAATGCCCTGGTAGCCGAGCAGTTACAGTGCACACCACACTACCACACTTTGATTCAGGCTGGGGACACATGTTGAATATGGTGACTCCCCCAACCTCCATCTTGTCTGTTTGCAGTCTACTGCCAAATAAAGGCAAAATGCCAAAACATTACTTCCTCACTTAACAACCTACATACACATACACATCACTCATTGCATAACTGACACACAAGAAAGTTGTCAGGAATCACAATTTTCAAAATGACAAACCACTAAAAAAACACAAAGTGTGGCTCAACCTGTCATTCAAAGGCATGGTGTCTTAATTCCCCATCTGCTTATAGCATTAAGAGAAACCCTTGTAAGGTCCACCCTTTAAACCACATACTGGAACATACATTATGACACACAAACTGGAGAACACAGTAAAAAGAGCCTTGCATAAGTTGTATCAGACCAACAGCCATGTCTGATGATCTGAGCCAGGCTAATGTACTTGGAGGCTGGTTTTAGCCGTAGTGTTTTAAGTCTCAGGAGTTTGAAAACTTTGGAAGGAGACTTAAGACCAAGGGTGTGTGTCTGGCCGAGAGACCGCAGCAGTGACTTACCAGATGACACCAGTCAGCACTGAGACTCCCTCGATGAGGCTGCTCATTCAGCATTTTAAAGCCCACATTAAACATACAGATAGACCTAGACACATGCAAATTTAAACTTAAGGGATGTCATGAGATTCATTCCTTTAGTCTTGCTGGACTACAACATATCATTTTACTATAAAAAGTACCCAGCTACAGGCTGAGCAGGACCAATTCCAACAGTGTGAAAGAGAAAGTTTGATGTGCAGTCATTTTGTGATCAAATGAATACGTGTCAGTCATGTGCTTGTTTCTGTGGCTGCAGTCTTTGTGAGGCAGTCACTGTTTAACAGAGATATGTTTCTATAACGTCACATTCTAGAAGAGACTTAAAGGTCAACTAGAAGTTACTTGTTCAAAAATAATAAAATAAATAAATAGGAAAAGGGCACACAAACGCACTGTAGTGTGCTGGCTTTTCAGTTTTAGATGATTTCCATAAAAATATTATTACTAAACAATTTAACAAGAATGGAGACTATGTCTTCACCAGCTGATTGTACTCACACACTTTCTGCAGCTAAATTAAAAAATATTGTGCTTCAGCCAAAAATCAGACGCCGCAGGCCTGAGTCTTAGGAGTCAATGGCTTAAAACAAACAGCTGTGTGAATGTGAGTGGGAATGGTTGTCTGTCAACACGTCAGTCCTTTAATAGACTGGTCACCTGTCCAGGTTGTACTCCAGGCTCTGGACCTTGGGGATAATGGATGGATGGGTGGGTGATTGTTCCCAGATTCCACAGAGACAGATGATGTAGTCAAATTTACCAACAGTGGCATAAAACTGGAGTCAACTCTGGAGTTAGTGTGTTAAACAAAATGAAATGTGTATGTGTAGACCAGGTTTTCCCTGTATGTGTCTGATAATCCCCCTGTAAGTACTGCCTCGTGTTAGAAATCAGCCTGTAATGTAATAATAAATCCAGTTTGTACTACAACAGGTAATTATCACACTTTTCCTGTAATCAGATATATTTAAAATCTCTCTCACCAGGCTTGTTATAACTGACCTCCAGGCTGCTTGTGTGGCATGATGGGTGGTGTGACAGGTAGGACATGTGGAGGCTGGACAGGCTTGACACCCAGCATGTCCCGCTGTCCTCATTAGTAAAACCAGGATGGCTCTGTGTGGTTCTCTGACTGGAACTCCTCCACTAACCTCAGCCCCCCCCAACAAACCAAAAGCTGACTGAAGAAGCCAAGTCTTCCTGTTGCTATAGTAATAGGCAACACCAGCTCACCCTTCTCGAAAACATGTTTTGGCATCCCTGTAGCCGTGGGTTTTTACGGCCTCCCCCTCAGAGCTCTTACATCCCCATTGTTTACACTGTTGGTCTGCCTATTTTTGCAGACAGTGCACTTTTTTCATTATGCATGATGCACCTCTTTAGTCGCGCATGAATTTGTAATCATCCTGGGTCATGGAGATCAGTAAACGTTGTGGTGATATGTGCAATACCCCTGCAAGGATTTTCTATTGAATCTGCTCTAAAACCTCAAACAAATTACTAATCAAGAGCATAAGAGTCATCATTTCACAAGGAAAGTTGGAACATTATTAAAAAATGATCAATTCAATATTTATATACAGATTTAAATGAACAGATTAATTACAAATAAATAAAATTACAATTTTATTTCAATTGTATGTTGAAAATTCTATTATTATTATTATTATTATTATTATTATTATTTTAAAGCACCTGAAATGAAATCTCTGTGACCTTGACACACAAACATCACATAATGTTTGAAATTAACCTCCTACATTGTCTCCTGTATATTCTCTATATATTTACAGTAGAATCCACAGATTTCAGT